TTGTCATGAACAAAGTTGAACTGTAATTTAAACTCAAAAATTTTGCGTTCCAGAAGGGAGCATGAAATTGTGTTCTCTTTGAAACGACTAAAATTTAGGTCTCTAGGACAATTTAATTTTAGTCAAAATAAATTGGACAGGGCAAAGATTTAAGCAAAGAGATAAATGAAGTCAGCGTTCATAATTTAAATCAAAACTTGAAAAAGCGAAAACATTTTAAATGCTTACAGCAAAAAAAAAACATTCTACAATGTAAAAATTAGGCCGAAAAAACAAGCTGACAAATCATAAGCCAATTTTTTTTTTTAAATGGAAGAAGAAACCAGATCTTGTCATTTTCGGAGCCAGAACACTTGCCGTCCCAGGCGCATTCGTTATCACTAGACCAAGTGTGAACTAAATTAAACCTACTTAATATTACCGTTTTAGGTTCAGGCCAATCTGTGAACAAATATAATTACAGAAAAAAAGTCTACTACACGATTGCATTACACTGTCTGATCGCACGGGTAAAAACAATGACTTGGCACGGATGCCGAGCTTAGATCTATTTTGAGAATCCATTTTTGTACTATTTTGAGAATCCATTTTTGGCTGATTGACCCTAAAATTTTTCCAAAGGCGCCTTTGGCGCCAATATATACTAATTTTCAGGGGGGGGGGGTCAGAAAGTGCCTAAAAACGCTTGTTTTGGCCAATTTTTTTTTTCAAAACTTTGCCTGCGGCGCAGAAATTTTGGCAAAAACGGGCTCTTTGTAATGCTTTGGGAGAGCTCAGAAAATCAATTTGGTCGACCTAAAAAAAAAGGTCGACAAAAATTTGGGAAATTTTTTTAAAAATCCAAACCCAAACCCCCCCCCCCACCTCCCCTGAGAAAATCCTAGATCCGCCCCCGACTCCGATAATGGGAAAAAACGAGACAACAAAGGAATATTTTTAAAAAAATACTTCGGCAGTGTTTCTGTACTTTTATTTTACTAACGTAAAATCAGTTACCATCGATAAGAATAGTCAACAGACAATTGGAAACGAGTCAAATACCGCAAAGAAAGAGAAAAAATTATTTTGTTCTTGAAAAAACGTCAACTTTGGAGTTTGAAAAAAAAACTTTATGAGATTATTTGTTTTTCACGGACAATCTTCGTTCAGTGCTTTTGAAAAATTCGCTTAAAGCTATCTGATTTTCACAATAATTTTATGCTTAGTGCTTTTTAAACAAAATTAACCTATTTTGAGAAAACAAACAATATGTAGAGTAAAACGAGCAAGTAGGTGTTATCATAAGATTAATAGCTTTCAGTTGTGGTATAACGATTAGGAAGAGAGCGACGCTATTAAAAAAACCGAAGTAAAATATCTCAGTTTTATACAAGACACAAAACTTTCTAGATAAATGTTTCTTATCACAACTTTTTAAGCAAACTTCCCAACATTAATTTAGTATGCTTTTTTATTCTTAGCAGTGCAGATGAATAAATGTGCTACGATGTTAAATGTGCTACAGTATACATATTTCTACCCTGTCGATCACTTTTATGCGAAAAAAGCTTGAAGAAAAAAGAAACACGATCTGATATTTGCCCTAAATCAAGTACCACCTTCATTGAAAAACAGGCGGTAATTGACTTCTCAGGAGAAAAGAAAACACGACTCAAGTGTCTCAAAACAAAGCAGCAATTAAGTTTCAATAACAAAAAATTTATCTGTTCGCACACGTGAACTACATAACGTTCTGGCTAATTTTGATACTCATCTCCAATCGGGTCATGTAAGTTTGATTGGTTACGGACTAAGTAGCTATTTTTTTACTAGTTTAGAAGTAAGTGAGGCTTGAAGTAAAGAGGCTCGAAGATGCAATGGCTCACTGAGAAAGCCATTTCACAATTTCTTACAGATCTGTAGCAAAATTTGTCTACGGGAACAAAATGTCTAACTCCTTTTAATCCATAAAATCATTAACCCATGATAACTGAAGTTGAGCGATATAATTTTAGATTTTTTAATTTCTAAAAATATATATTTTTTGAGCTTTGCATTGTCATATTCACTGTTTTTAGCTTTTTGAAAAATCTGAATTTCATGCCTTTACCAAATAGTTTCGAAGTATTAGAAGGCAAACTTTATCAAAGACAAAAGGAGTCAGCCAGCAAATTTTTCTCAAAAATTAAAATATTTGTTCACGGCATATCAAACAAGCTAAATAGCTTTCATTTTCTGCACTTTAGATAGCCTTCAGTTCCTGCGCTAGCTGGTGCTCTTCCAATAATAATTTATAAGTTTTATATATTTTTAAAGCGCTCTTAGCTTGAAAAGAATCATCACTATTTCTTTATGAAAACGCATGGAAAACGTGGGATCCAAATTATCAGGAGAGCACATTTTTTCGGTGGTTATCAAAGCCTCAACTACTTTTTTAAATTTTAGCTCGTCACAAAGTTTTGAGAAACTGAAAATTGAAAAGGTATTGAAAACGTACGCTTTTGGTCTACGAATCTGAAATTGAAAAGGTATTGAAAACGTACGCTTTTGGTCTACGAATTTGAAATCTCGACATCTCATCAAAAATATGCAATGTTCAAGAGCACTTTCAGTGGCATGCAAGTTTCGGCAAAAATTTTCCGCCTTCAGAAGACTTCGCTTATTAAAAATTATGTCAACAATTTAATACTCAGAGGCAAAGCGGAGCTCGCATCACTGGCAATACCACATAAGTTAGCACTGCAAGCTATCAGACAGTGGCTACCCTTTTTCTTCCAGTCTAATAGCTTGCAATGCTAATTTATTTGTTATCGTCAGTGATTTGGTATCTCGAGGATTTTTTTGAATTTTTTTTGATTTATTGATTATTTTTACTTTCTCAAAACCGAACAAACGAAAAAAAAAACGAAAAAAAAAAATAAACATCAAGATTTTGTCTGTAAGGATGCTTTTATTGCAGAAAACTTGTCGTACGATCCAATCTACGGTGTTTGATTAAAACCCATAAACATTTTTTGAAAAAAGTTCTGAGAAAAAAACGGGAAAAAAATATACAAAGTAACACTTAAAAAATTACAACAACAAAAAATAGGCCTAAGCAAGCAAAGGAACTGCAATGTAATTTGCGTACTTGAAAAAAGTTTTCTGCGATATGGCAACTAAGCCGACAAATACTAAATAGTGGTAACTAAGCCGACAAACAAATGGTTTTCCGTTTGAAAAAGCAGGTCCTGCTAGAATCCAACCCAGAATTTTTGCTGGCCTGGGCGTATTCGTTACCTTCAGACCAGGTGTGCCGGAGACGCAAAGAAGCTTGAATTCATTATGCATTGAACTTACATTTATAATTTCTAATTTTGTCTTTTCTGTGAAATAAAAGTTAATTACGGGAAAAAATTCAGTGCAAGTTTGCAATACCCTTGCTGATCGCAAGAGTAATAAATATGAACGAGCATATGCAGTCGAGCTTAAACTTTTTCATTGAGAAATATTATCCCAATCATAGAAAAAAACAAAAGAGTAAAATAAAAATAACGGCATTTCGTTAGTGGTGTTTCTTAGCCATAAACATTTTCTTAGCCATTAACTGGGAGTTTGCCCACTCGCTCTCTTCTGCAATGGCTTCGAAGAACACATTAACTTCGGTAGATTTATGCCCAAAGGGCAATGTGGCTACTCCGTCGAATAGCAAGAACCGCTT